CCTCTGGAAGAAGCCAGTGACTCATAGTAGATCACCAAAAGATGGGAACTCAATTCCTGTGACCTCTGTGAGTGGCAAACAAGTTAATTAGGATCAGGTGAGCCAGGTTACCTGCTTCAAGAGTACCAGGAGAGGGACAAGGTTCACAACAGGTGTCCACACTGGAACTCAATGACCTTCTGGACAAGGAAAACTTTACAGAGCATTTGAGGGCATCTGTTACTCAAAAGAAGCAGAGACCATTTTCTGGATATAAAAGTGAAATAGTGTTAGTGATTACTGGACATGACCAGGTGTGCCCATAGAGGGACGGCTGAGGAATAATGTCCTAGTCATACGAAGGTACTTTACCTTTTCTCTACAGATGAGGGTCTCAATCCCTGAAAGCGATGTTATGGGTTTCAAAACAAGTGCTGTATGTGGGATATCTAGGTCAGTTACCTAGTGGTTAAGCAGAAGAGTCCAGTTGCTGAGGTAAAAATTAAAGAGCTGAGCACAGCAGAGAAACCCACACAGACTAATGAATAAGCAACTTGACTGCAACTTGCAGCACTGTACCGACTTCAACCACAAGATGGCAGCGTACTGCAGGCTGGCCTCGAGGCCAGAAAGCCCTCCTAGAGCTGAGGAAAAGCAACTCCACCATTATGTTTATGAAGCTGCTGTAGGTCAAATGCTTTTTGAGAAGGAAGGTTCTAGATGTAATTATCATCCTAGTAGAGAATGGATATGCATATTCTGTTTGGGTTTGCTGTCGACTGACTGTAACAACAAAAAGTCCTAATTTCATTGGTTATTGTTAACAGAGTTGAAGAAAAAAGTTCTAGAATTTAAGGCACAGACCCTGTCTCCTGCTCCTCACTCGTCTCTTAGGATGATACTTGACCCTGGGAAGCCACCTCCAGAGCCTCAGTTTCCCACTCGGTTCAATGAGAACAACAGGTCTGGGAAACCTCCCAGAAACGAGGCCGTGAAGTGACACTGTGCATGGGCAATGCAGACCGAAGACAGAGAAGTGGCCCAAACGTGAGGTCTGGGGATGCTTCACTTACATGGCGTCCCTAGGGAGGGGCTGTGCCACTTGACAAATTTTCCAGATAATTGAATTTTAAATGCTATGACTTGTTTTCCTTTTAACCTTCTGTAATGGAAATCTTTCTATAATATATTACATGCTTCTCTGGCTCCTTAAACGGCAAACTGAATATAATTTAACCTTTCCTTAATGTCTGTAGGTCATGATGATGACTGCCTGTGACTATATACAGCCCTGCCTCTCCCGATGCCTCTGGGCACAGCAAGGCAGACAGGACTATCAGGCTAAATGGCCCTGGAGACCACACGCTAAAGCTCTAATTGGCAATTCTTCCTTTCTTCGATCTCCTACATCACTACCTGCAGTCACTTCTCCAAGTAACACCTTCTAGCAGCCTCTTGACACTGTTTTAAATCTGCTATAACCTAGAGAGAACTCAGGGTTGCCATGGGTAACCAGAGTCTGTGCTTGTAGCAACCCTAAATTTAATTTTACACACAACTTAAAGATAGTGGGTAGCACGCTGAAGGTTATGCTGGTCAGGACTGATACTCAGCTCTCTGCCCGGGGTGTCATTCTTCTCAGCAGTTAGACAATTGCCCTGAGCCTCCAGGCCCTCTGGTCTGTGATCACACAGACATTTCATCCCCCAGTAACTCAAAAAACCTGTCTGACCCAGGGATCTGGGACAAGCTTCCTGCATGTACCATCATCTTTGCGTTACAGTTACACCCTAAACTACATGCTAAACTAGCTGCTCATTATTTCTGTATCACCCCAATTTCTGGGCTGAAGATTATTCTCTTTCTTGCTCAGTAAATTGTTTGGGATTTGGGATTCTTCTCTGTGCTTCAAACTCAAAGGCATTTTCTCAGTTCCTGCTGTGTCTTGGGTTCAGGTCAATTAACATGGACCAGGTGGGGCATTAGCTGACCATCCACCACGTGTCTTTTCAGTAGTCAGTCACCTCCTCACTAGCGACCCCTACTGGGGAGATAGCATCAACCGCCGGGTGGCTGAAATAACTTGTCCTCAGTCACATGGCAAGCAGCTGGTCTGAAGCCAGATCCATCTCTCCATCTCACCAGAGTCCTCGCCAAAGTCCTCATTCTCTGCACTGAGTTCTGCACGTTTATTAATGTACAAAAGGTCCAGTCAGGCTCACATCCTAAAAAGTACACTTTTAGTGAAACATGGACCCTCTTACTTTTCAGAAAAGGCTACTTGTTTTTGTTTTAGTGTGTGGGTTGTGTTTTAATTAATTCCACATTTTGTTACCAATTTGGAACAATCTGTCCTCAGGGAACAGATCTGGTTTACTTATAGAAAGCTAGCTGAGGAAGGGAGGGACTGGGGTTACAAAGTATTCCTTGTAAGAACTAGTCTAAAAAACCTTCCTAGGTCTTCCTTCGCCAAATAGAAGTGGATGGAATGTTCCAGAAAAATCTCATCTTCCCCAGAAAAGGTATAATAGAACTGGAGAACAAAAAACCTTCGCCAAATAGAAGTGGATGGAATGTTCCAGAAAAATCTCATCTTCCCCAGAAAAGGTATAATAGAACTGGAGAACAAAAACTCTGCTGCAGTTTTTCCTACAAGATATGTGACATCAAAATAACTAACATTTCTACCCATTCCAGAAACATCTCTACAAGTTCACACCATATCAATATTGTCAGCAATCAAAAGAACGAAGAGTATCCAGAATCTAGAAGCAAACTGTCACCATCAGGAGTACCAGCCAGCGAGAAGGCTGGTATGGGTATCTATAACTTAAGGACAGTAGCAAGTTTCACTTCAGAACTGGTTCTAGGATAAGAAGGCTACAGATTCTTTGTTCTTCCCCCCAGGAATTAACTTTCTAAATTGATCCCAAGCTAATTTTTAAAATAAGCAAACCATGACCTCATCATCCACATTTTGCACCTGCTCTTCCCACACTTAACACCGGCTGGTTTTCAGCACGTCCTCTTCCGCAAACATCCCTGGTGCTCTAAAGTTTCTGGAGTAACTCTTGTCAGGAAGAAAACTACCTGAAAAATCGACTATCACAGGTATCCATTTCCCAGAACTGCCACAGTAAAGCGGCTGAGGCAACAGTAACACATAGTTTCTGTTCTGCAGCTAAAAGTCCCAGAGCTGGGTGTTGGCTCAGTCTTGCAGGAAGCATGACTGAGGTGAAGGGAAAAGCTGCCGCCACCTGCCTCCCAGCTTCAGATAGCATGTTGGCTTGTAGCAGCATAACCACAGCCTTCACATGGCATTCTCCCTCTGCGTCCAAATTTACTGTTTTTATAAGGACAACAGTCATATTGAATTAAGGGCCCACGGTTCTCCCACACGACCTCACTTCAACTTAACTAATTATATCTGCAATGGCCTTATTTCCAAATAAGGCCACATTTTCCAGTTCTGTGGGGCTGCTACATCTGAGTTGGGGGGCGGGGAGGCACAATTAGCCCATAACTTATTGAAGTGAGTTTTGAATTAAAAAATACAACAGAGAAGGAGCAGAATGGCGTCCAAAAAAGTGACTCGTAACAGCAAGGCATGGGACAGGTGACTTAGTGTGTTGGCAAGGTGAGCAGAAGTCGGTGTGTTGACCCTGAAATGCGTTGCTTACAAGTGTGGGTGGGTATATGATCACTGAGGGGGATGTTTGCCAAGGGCACTGTTGGTGGAGAACACTGGATCTCTGCAGAGCCCTGACTCCTACTTGTCACTTTGTAGAACAAAAGCCACAAGGGTGCACAGGAGAATTCAGGGTGGAAGGAAAACTGTTACAAAGAGTGAAAAGGAACTTCTTGAGAACTTTCCAAACATTTTAAAGTCCCTGATGCCTAATCTCAAAGCGCTTCTCGTTTTAAGATCTGACTAGAATAAGTTTGCCAAAGGGATTTCACAATAAAATTGGATTTCCTTTTATGCAGTGGGGTTGGGGACCGGGGGCGGGGGTTCTGCTTTCCTTGTCAGACTGGGTAACTGGAAACCATGGAATTTGTTCTCTTCATTAGCCTCCTCGGCATCTGAGATTATACTCAGGAGCTACTTTGTGAAACTGGAAACCATCCATGAAATGAAGCACCACACCTCACAACAAGCACCCAAGACTAGGACCCAAGACTAGGACCCAAGACTAGGCGTGGGACAGATTTGAGGTCGCAGAGCACAGGCCGCGGGAGACCCAAGTTCAGATCTGGCTCTGCCTCTCCCTAAGACGACCTTGACCAAGTGACCCAGCCATTCTGTGGCCAAGGCCACACCAGAGGACCTAGAGCTGTCCTTTATGGAGCGGTGGGTGGCACTAAATGAGAGCATGCTCAGCGCAGTATCCACCGTGGGCACAACTCCTCAGTAAATGGCACTTGTCATTTTCCCAGAAAATTAGGGAGCGAACCTTGAGAAGTGGAGGTAGTCTGCTGTTGGTCACGTCCACCTTGGTGGTCAGGAGCAATGGCAGTCCAGGACTCCAGAACCCCTTGCCTCTTCTTGATTCACTATCATGCCTTCTTGAAGACCCAGCAATGAGTCTTGGTTTTTCCCTCCCCGCCCCACTGGGCCCTTCACTGTCCAGGACACACACACGAGAGAAGGGCACGCGGAATCATGACTGTTCTCTGGAAAAGAAGTGAACTCGGAAGATTTACAGACTCATCTTTGTAAAATTTCCAGAGGTCTGGTACTGATTACGTTTCCCATCGCCTGGTGCTCTGGCATTTGAAGGTTGGACCTGGAGACACGGCCCCTCCCAGAGGAAGTCAATTCCTAGAAATAGCAAAGGACTTCCCTGAGAGGGCGCCTCCGGCACACAAACCAGCCAGTGCAGAGCCCATGCTCCCCTCTCCTGCATGAAGCTCCCACACGGAGCAACATCCCCCTCTGCAGCAGCAGGTTGAGCAGCAGACACACGGCAGCCCGTAGGGTTCCGCAGCCACCCCCAAGTCAGCCGGGGCTCCCCACTCACCTGGCCCCACTCACGTCCACACCGACCATCAGCTGCCCGTTGAGGGAGAGGATCTCGTCCTTCAGTCGGACCTTCCCGCTCTTCCCCGCGGGGCTGTTCTTCCTCAGCTCCGTCACCCAGATGCAGCCCACATCCAGCACGGGGCCCAGGTGGGGCTTCCGCTTCTTGCCCCCTCGGCGCTTTTCTCCAAGGTCCCCAAAGACAGGGATGTTCCCAAAACTGAGGCCCACGGTGTCCGTGTCCCCCAGCTCCTTGGTGAGGTACACCGTGCAGATCTCCATCTCCGGGGAGCTGTGCTCAGGTGGCGCCGAGCTCTCGTCCACAGCGAAGTTGAGCTGGATGTACTCCTGCAGCTTCCGGATGGCCGCCTGGCACAGCCGCTGCTCCGGCCCATCCCCGCCCTCTTGCAGGCTGTTCTGCAGCCACTGGCAGAGGAGGGACAGGTGCAGCCTGGCATTGTCCTGAGTGATGGGCATGATGTTCACTCCCGGACCCCAACATCATGGGAGGACCGGCTTCTGGGGGCTGGGCCCCACGAGGCCCCACGTCCCTGGGGAAGCCTGGCTGGCATCGGTTTTGCCTGTGTGCATGTTCAGGCTGGCAGAGGAGCCTTGAGGTAGTCTGCTGGAGAGAGCTGGGCCAGCAGACGGGACGCAATTAGACTGGCGGTGGGACAGAACCGCGCCCTGCTGCGCCAGCGCTCAATGGAGGAAGGAAAGGAGTACCTGACCAGCCCTTGGCCGGTTTATTTCATAGCAGGGCCCGTGCAGTGAGCTGGAAATGGGGTATTCTTCCAGCAGCAGGAGTGTGACCTCTCCCAGGTTCATTCACACCTGGAAGAGAGGGAAAAAACAAAAAATCCCAGTCATAACTGAGCCTCCTGACAAAGAACGATGGCTGGTGTTACAGAAGGGCCAGATTTCTTTTTTAGCCAGGAAGCTAATGTCATTCCAGTCCTCAAGACAGCTCCCTCCATCTTGTACACTCAGATAGATGTACAGATACACACTGCTAGACACACACACACACACACACACACACACTTATACAAATGCACACATGAATATCTTCTCCCTTCCCTCAGGCAGAAGCCTCTGGACTGCTGGTCTTCTCTGGGAAATTTCTCTGATCGGCAGGGGAAGGAGATGACTTTGCCATGTCAATCCCTACTGATATATCCTCAAGCTCACATCCGATCAGAAAGCTCGGAGAGAGTGCTGAGGAGTTATGGACCTATTTACAAACTCACAGTCCAAGAAAGTTAAAGATCCATGTCCTTTGCCTTGACTAGTCCAAAAGCACTCAGAGGAGGGCTCTCCCTTCCCAACTAGGCTCTGACAATGTCACCAAGAGGAGAAACAGCCGACCGAGCGAGGCCAGCTCTACCGCAGACCACCAGCAGTGCTAAGCTAAGCCACGGGTCTGTATTTTTCATGTAGCCCCAGAGGGAATCCCTCTTTTATTCCTCTGATGCTGTTGAAATGGACCTACTCTTAGACTATCCCCACAGCCATTTCCTCCAGAGAAATGTTCCTACAGGCTTCTGGGGATGAAGACTGGGCCCTCCCCTGTGCTGTGACTAATGCCCCGCATGCATGCCATCTGCCAGTCTGCAGGCTGGAACAGCAGGTGGGTCTACCTCACAAGAGCAGGTACCAGCCCCACCTCACCCCCCAATTCAGCTCATAGTACTCCCTGTCCCATCAAAGTTTAATTAACTTCAATTGCTAATTTTCCTTCTCCACCACAGAAAAATGTCACCTCCATCTTCTATAAATACAGAAAAATGATTCTTTTTCCTCTTCTCTGAACTTAACTTTCACCTAGAGAAAATCAACATAGACTGTGCCATCTAAGGTGGAAAACATTCTTGAGCCTTATTAGGAAGTGATTTAATAAGGAATAATAAAAAATGGGAGAGGTGTCAGATGGCCATGTCAATAATAAATGTCTTTATTACTCAGAAACCACAAAGCTCTAATATGGTGAGCTTGAGCTTCCAAAGAATTTGAAAGCCAGCTATTAATTGGATCCAAATAAATCAAAAGCTTTTAGCAAATACTACCTATAGAATCACATGCCTATTAGAAAGTCAAAATCAAGGGGAAGATAATCCATGCATGGACGAAAACAGAATGGCCAACATAAATAGTACTTCTCCCTGAAAACTAACTCTGCGTACACACATTCAAGCCTATGAATCAATCAAAACGTTGTCCATCAGGTTAACAACCTTTATGAGTCTCTGCTTCCTCATCTAAAATAAGGAACTTAAGTTCGTAAAATAAGGAACTTAAGTTCGTGGTCATTAAGGTCTCTCACACTCAACAAAGAGGTTCTCAAACATAGTGCATAGTGACAGTATCTTATTCATTCATATGGTCCCTACCCCAGAACAGTGCCTGCCACCTCAATAATTTAAAACTATTTTTAAAGAATTGTGCAATTAAAAAAGTAATGGCCTGTGAGATTCAAGGAGTTAATCACACACTTTCATGGTTCCACACAATGAGTACAGAGTAAGTAACCTGGGAAAAATGCTTTTTAAATAAGCTTGATTGAAGACCAAACTTAAGAAGAACAGAGAATGTTTTCAGCTGAAAAGTCAACTTACATTCATTGAGCATGTATTTACTGACCATCTATTAAGAACCAGGCCTTGAATTTGGCCCTGGGAATATACTGTCAACAGGCAAACTCTTCGCCCTGAAGGAATTCAGTCTTTGGGGGAGAGGTATAAATAAATGGAAACTGTGTGGAAGACATCTATGACAACCCCCTTTTTTTGGACAACCCTCTTAATAGAAACAACAGAGGCATAGTCTTGGCAGTCATGATCATGTAGTACGATCCTGCCAGCTCTTGTCAGCAATCCAGGAGCTGGGCATCTCACCCAAGCAGGAACAGAGTTATTCCCCGATTACTGAGCACCAGGTCCTAGAGAGAAAGAATCTTAGTGGAATGGGTTCTAGATGCGTATGTGACAGAAACTTTAACTGAGGTTATCACTGGTTTCCAACACTGGGAATGATTTAGGGAATTAGGTTCCCTAAATCCCTCTTTAGAGATGTTACCACATCACACCCACCATCAAGCAGCCAAAGTCCTTCACTATAGACCCTGGGCGCCCACCCCCACCCCCAGCCCTGGATTCTCACTCTCCCCTTCCCCTCTAAAGAGCCTAAATTCTCCAGCCATCATTCTAGGGTGTGTTCTTGTTTAGTTTTATCTATTCCTTTGTTTTGTTTCTCTGTATCCACATATGAATGAAACATCTGATATTTGTGGTTCCCCTGACTTACTTTCACTTACCATAAACTCCTTCAGGAACTGTAACTTTTGAACAAGAGGTTCTGAATGGCAATTATTCTCCTGCTCTGACTCCCCACGGAATCTTGTTCTTAGTGTCAGCCACCCCAGAGAGAGCTGCTCTTCTGGCCTCCCCCTTAATCTGAAAGACCCTATCAATTCTTATATAAATTATATTTTTAAAATGTAACAACTTAAAGGAAAAAAAAAGTCCCCAAAACAAACCTACAAAAAACTTTATAAACAAAAATAAATTTTACCTGGAGTTGCTGCTCTCTGCCCTTTACAACTCAAAAGTTGTTTATTAATACACTGGGGTTGAGCAAGGCTGGTTGGCTCAGCTTGGATCAACTGTCCATCTATAGTCCAATCAGAGATGGCCAAGGGGGAAGGACTGTACAAATGGAAAAATCCTTTCAAGTATTTAGACACCCTTAAAGGCATCTAGTTTTTTGTTTGGTTGTTTGTTTTTTGTTTTATTTGTGCATACAGAACTGGGGTACAGGCCAGAGGTGCAGGGGGCGGTGAGAGGCTTCACCAGAGACAGAGTGGGGAGCAGAACAGGCAGATCAACGAAGTACACTGCTGAGGGGAGCAGCGGGCGGGTCAGGAGAGGTCTGCTGTGCCATGTGGTCACCTCCGGGGCAGGTAGGGATTGAATTCATGCAGAAATGGCTTTAGCTTCTTAGTGCTGTGCTTTAACTCACTGCACCACCAGGGAGGGCCCCAAAGGCATCTAGTTTTATTAGAAACTCACAGGCTCCATAACTTCCCAATTCCAGCCCTATAATTGGGAATATTCTAGTATTCCATTCAATCCCTTATTCTAGCAAATCATTTTCCTGGGACTTTCTGTGAACAAGGGAAGCAGAGTCATCTCCACCCACTGCAATGATTTCAGATAATTCAGGACCTAAAAAATATATGCTTTTACCTTCCTATGTAAAAAGTGGTTCCTTTGCCACATGAATCCAAGGAACAAAATGTGGACCCAGAGACAATTCAGAAAAAATCTGCAAAGTTATAAACACCAGCATCTCCTGAGGGCTGATGTGTGCAAAGGTCTGAAAACATCTTCTCTTGAAGCTCCATCCCTTCCAACAGTGCGCTGCTGTGTGGACACGAAGGGGCACACATGGCCCAGCTCACTTCTGCCCATCATACATAATTTCCCAATTAGAGTCTCATCTCAAGCAAACAGCTATGATAATTTTAAATTAATCTTGAGTAGCTTCAAGCTGACAGCCTTAGCATTCAAAATAAATGCTTCTGCCCTGAGGTAATTTATAGATATGGGGTTAGGGTCTATCGCCTTTCTTAGATCTCCTTTCAGTTAGATGAAGCCATCTCAGCAGGGAAAGGCTGCCCATGGAGGTTGAAAACTGACTAGAGGGAGCCCCTTAGATATTATTATGCTAACTGCCCTCTTGCAAAACATCATACTATCTGAAAAAAAAAAAATCTTATTGCATACTATTTAATTTCTGTGTTAGAGAGAACTTAAACTTTCCCCCAAGGGTAGGGCTGACGGACAAGAGTGAAAGACTGAAGTGGGTGAGATCAGACATCTGGTCAAAGTCACAGGCCCAGAGACACCCAAAGCCAAAACCTAAATCCTGTAACTGGCAGGAGGATGAAATAGTCCTCTGTTTATCCACACCTGGCCTCAAAGTCAGATTCACACCTGAATGTCTCCTTTGGCCAAAATAAGTAACACCTCTCCCTGAAAAGTAACTTCACAGAGACATATTCAAATCTTACGAATCAATCAAAACATTTTCCATCCAGGTCTAACAACCTTTAGAAGCCTCCATTTCCTCATCTAGAAAGTGAGAAAGTTAGGCTAGTGGTTAACTTTCTAGTCCTCTCATACCCAACAAAGAGGTCCTCAGAGAGTGACATGTCACTAATTCCTACTCCAGGTGGCCTGGATTTTAGATGCAAAGTTCCCAATTCCTCAACTTTCACCTACATGTCCCACCTTCCTGACTGGATTCCTCTTTTGATTTATAGAAAATGTTCCCATTTCAGAAGTCAGCCTAGGTTGATTAAATATCTGTGAGTCATTTATTCAACAGATGGTCACTGAGTTCCTATCCTGTCAGGCCCTGAGCCAATCAGACCACACTGCCGCAGAGCTTGCGAGGCCTGGGTTCCAACATCAGCCAGCGAG